GTCACCACACGGTGCGGTCACTGCACCGTTCCCAGACATCCGGCGTCTAGACTTCTTCAACACACGGGCCCAAGACCTCTCGACCTCTTCCCGGGGACCGGTTTTTCATCCCGAGCCGTTTCATCCCGAGCCGTTTTTCATCCCGAGCTGTTCATCGCCGACCAGGAAGCACCCGAAAGGGGCCGATAAAAAACTCTGGAAACCTCCGGCCCGAGCTTTCCGAAACGCAGGCTGTCTAGGTATGGGGGTTCCCGGGAAGAAGCGCGGCGGTCCCCCTCAGGGCGACGGAGATGGGGGCACAGCAAGCGGGGAACGTCGAGTCCCACTTTTGGCTATGCCCCCCTCGTTTATGGGGCCGTGGGAGCCGAAGACGGAGGCACAGCAAGCAAAGGCACATGGAATTACGCTACCGAGGAACCCCACATACTTAATCTAAATCTTATGTGCTTGCTTAAGTTTATCATATATGCGCAATTCTGCGTTCTCAGCCCTCGTCGCGAATGTTCCCCTCTGTGTCATCCAACACCATATTGCTTGAACCTCCTCCCTCTTCCTAGCCTTCTATCCTCCATCGAGGACAGATTCGAGCCAGCCAGCGGCCGCGGTGAGGGACCACCCCCTGCGCACCCTCTATGGTGTCGAGAAAGTGCCACGCCTGCTATGCCCTGGACGACCGTCGTGCATGGCGGCCGCGGTGAGGGACCACCCCCTGCGCAGCCTTTATGGTGTCGAGAAAATGCCACGCCTGCTAGGCCCTGGACGACCGTCGTGCATAGCGGCCGCGGTGAGGGACCACCCCGGTGAGAGACCACCCCCTGCGCACCCCCTCGGGTGTCGAGAAAGTGCCACGCCTGCTAAGCCCTGCGACATTGGCGCGTATAGAGACCGCGGTGAGAGACCACCCCCGTGCGCACCCCCTCCGGTGTCGAGAAAGTGCCACGCCTGCTAGGCCCTGCGACATTGGCGCGTATAGGGGCCGCGGTGAGAGACCACCCCCTTGCGCACCCCCTCCGGTGTCGAGAAAGTGCCACGCCTGCTAGGCCCTGCGACATTGGCGCGTATAGGGACCGCGGTGAGAGACCACCCCCTGCGCACCCCCTCTGGTGTCGAGAAAGTGCCACGCCTGCTAGGCCCTGCGACATTGGCGCGTATAGGGACCGCGGTGAGAGACCACCCCCTTGCGCACCCCCTGCGGTGTCGAGAAAGTGCCATGCCTGCTAGGCCCTGCGACATTGGCACGTATAGGGACCGCGGTGAGAGACCACCCCCTGCGCACCCCCTCTGGTGTCGAGAAAGTGCCACGCCTGCTAGGCCCTGCGACATTGGCGCGTATAGGGACCGCGGTGAGAGACCACCCCCTGCGCACCCCAGGCCCTGCGACATTGGCGCGTATAGAGACCGCGGTGAGAGACCACCCCCTGCGCACCCCCTCTGGTGTCGAGAAAGTGCCACGCCTGCTAGGCCCTGCGACATTGGCGCGTATAGAGACCGCGGTGAGAGACCACCCCCGGCGCACCCCCTGTGGTGTCGAGAAAGTGCCACGCCTGCTAGGCCCTGCGACATTGGCGCGTATAGAGACCGCGGTGAGAGACCACCCCCTGCGCACCCCCTCTGGTGTCGAGAAAGTGCCACGCCTGCTAGGCCCTGCGACATTGGCGCGTATAGAGCCCACGGTGAGAGACCACCCCCGTGCGCACCCCCTCTGGTGTCGAGAAAGTGCCACGCCTGCTAGGCCCTGCGACATTGGCGCGTATAGGGACCGCGGTGAGAGACCACCCCCTGCGCACCCCCTCCGGTGTCGAGAAAGTGCCACGCCTGCTAGGCCCTGCGACATTGGCGCGTATAGGGACCGCGGTGAGAGACCACCCCCTGCGCACCCCTCTGGTGTCGAGAAAGTGCCACGCCTGCTAGGCCCTGCGACATTGGCGCGTATAGGGACCGCGGTGAGAGACCACCCCCTTGCGCACCCCCTCCGGTGTCGAGAAAGTGCCACGCCTGCTAGGCCCTGCGACATTGGCGCGTATAGGGACCGCGGTGAGAGACCACCCCCTGCGCACCCCCTGTGGTGTCGAGAAAGTGCCACGCCTGCTAGGCCCTGCGACATTGGCGCGTATAGGGACCGCGGTGAGAGACCACCCCCTGCGCAACCCCTCTGGTGTCGAGAAAGTGCCACGCCTGCTAGGCCCTGCGACATTTGCGCGTATAGAGACCGCGGTGAGAGACCACCCCCTGCGCACCCCCTCCGGTGTCGAGAAAGTGCCACGCCTGCTAGGCCCTGCGACATTGGCGCGTATAGAGACCGCGGTGAGAGACCACCCCCTGCGCACCCCCTCCGGTGTCGAGAAAGTGCCACGCCTGCTAGGCCCTGCGACATTGGCGCGTATAGGGACCGCGGTGAGAGACCACCCCCTGCGCACCCCCTCCGGTGTCGAGAAAGTGCCACGCCTGCTAGGCCCTGCGACATTGGCGCGTATAGGGGCCGCGGTGAGAGACCACCCCCTTGCGCACCCCCTCCGGTGTCGAGAAAGTGCCACGCCTGCTAGGCCCTGCGACATTGAGCGCGTATAGGGACCGCGGTGAGAGACCACCCCCTGCGCACCCCCTCTGGTGTCGAGGAAGTGCCACGCCTGCTAGGCCCTGCGACATTGGCGCGTATAGGGACCGCGGTGAGTGACCACCCCTTGCGCACCCCCTGCGGTGTCGAGAAAGTGCCATGCCTGCTAGGCCCTGCGACATTGGCACGTATAGGGACCGCGGTGAGAGACCACCCCCTGCGCACCCCCTCTGGTGTCGAGAAAGTGCCACGCGCTGCTAGAGGTGACCTGCGACATTGGCGCGTATAGTGGGACAGCGCGTGAGAGCCACGCACCCCCTGCGCACCCCAGGCCCTGCGACATTGGCGCGTATAGAGACCGCGGTGAGAGACCACCCCCTGCGCACCCCCTCCGGTGTCGAGAAAGTGCCACGCCTGCTAGGCCCTGCGACATTGGCGCGTATAGAGACCGCGGTGAGAGACCACCCCCTGCGCACCCCCTCCGGTGTCGAGAAAGTGCCACGCCTGCTAGGCCCTGCGACATTGGCGCGTATAGGGACCGCGGTGAGACCGCGGTGAGACCCCCTACGCCCCCCGCGCACCCCCTCCGGTGTCGAGAAAGTGCCACGCCTGCTAGGCCGTGCGACATGCCACGCCTGCTAGGCCCTGCGACATTGGCGGTATAGAGACCCGCGGTGAGAGACCACCCCCTGCGCACCCCCTCTGGTTCGTCGAAGTGCCACGCCTGCTAGGCCCTGCGACATTGGCGCGTATAGGGGCCGCGGTGAGAGACCACCCCCTGCGCACCCCCTCCGGTGTCGAGAAAGTGCCACGCCTGCTAGGCCCTGCGACATTGGCGCGTATAGAGCCGCGGTGAGAGACCACCCCCTGCGCACCCCCTCTGGTGTCGGGGAAGTGCCACGCCTGCTGCTAGGCCCTGCAACATTGGCGCGTATAGGGGCCGCGGTGAGAGACCACCCCCTGCGCAACCCTCTGGTGTCGAGAAGTGCCACGCCTGCTAGGCCCTGCGACATTGCGCGTATAGAGACCGCGGTGAGAGACCCCCTGCGCACCCCCTGTGGTGTCGAGAAAGTGCCACGCCTGCTAGGCCCTGCGCCAGTGCGTGGATAGGGCCGCGGTGAGAGACCACCCCCTGCGCACCCCCTCTGGTGTCGAGAAAGTGCCACGCCTGCTGGCCTGACGACCAGTGTCGTGGATAGCGGCCGCGGTGAGAGACCACCCCCTGCGCACCCCCTCGGGTGTCGAGAAAGTGCCACGCCTGCTAGGCCCTGCGACCATTGGTCGTATAGAGGCCGCGGTGAGAGACCACCCCCTGCGCACCCCCTCGGGTGTCGAGAAAGTGCCACGCCTGCTAGGCCCTGCGACATTGGCGCGTATAGGGACCGCGGTGAGAGACCACCCCCTGCGCACCCCCTCGGGTGTCGAGAAAGTGCCACGCCTGCTAGGCCCTGCGACATTGGCGCGTATAGGGACCGCGGTGAGAGACCACCCCCTGCGCATCCCCTCCGGTGTCGAGAAAGTGCCACGCCTGCTAGGCCCTGCGACATTGGCGCGTATAGAGACCGCGGTGAGAGACCACCCCCTGCGCACCCCCTCTGGTGTCGAGAAAGTGTCACGCCTGCTAGGCCCTGAGACATTGGCGCGTATAGAGACCGCGGTGAGAGACCACCCCCTGCGCACCCCCTCCGGTGTCGAGAAAGTGCCACGCCTGCCGTGCCCTGCGCCATGGCCTGCATAGAGCCTCCTGCCATCCACTGCGAATCCTACACGCACGTCTTGTACATGGCATGGTATGTGTCTGTGTATGATGCGTGTGCGGCTATATCGGGACGTGTCTCATGTGGGTACCCACTATGTCGCGCACACGCCTCAATGGACGCTGCAGTGATCACGCCAGGCGCGCACTAGCGTTGTATGGTGTGTGTGTGTGTGTTGTGTGCGAGTGTGTGCATGCGCGCGGCCGTATGTAGACGCGTGTCTCATGTACTTGCCGTGCACGCGTTGAGCGCGGGTGAGGAGAGGAAGGAGGAGAGAGGAGATGAGGTGTGAGGTGGAGGTGAGACGCGGGTGCGCCGCGGCAGGGAAGAAAACCAGAACCCCACGAAACATGTGGGGAAAAACCTGCGACCCCATTTGGCTACCCAGACCCGTCGACGTGATATTTTCATAACGTCGACCCCCAGCGGTCTCGACCCATTCCCCGGTACAGGTTTCTCATCCTCGGTCGTCTTCTGACAGTCCCGAGGCCCGGTGAGGGACCCCAGAGCCCGAACATCTAGAGAAACCTCCCCGGAGCCCGAAATTAGCGGAAAAAACTCCCCTCGCGATGCTTCGTCATGGCTCGCTGGGGGGGGGCCCGGGGGTACTGCCCCCCGCTGGCGAGGCCGCGGCCCCCCTCTCCGCGCAGGGGATCCGGGCAGAGCACCGGGCGGGCCGAGGGCCACGCCCTCGTGCGGGAGCGGGCCCGCGTCGCCGTGGCGGGAGAAGTCCAGCAGACCTGCGGGGGCCGGGGTGCTCTCTCGGAGCACTGCTTCCTCGCACAAGACTCGGCGGCGCGCCCAGGGGGTACGGGGAAGGGGGAAGACTTCTCAGAAGGAGGCTGCTTCTCAGAAGGTGCCTTCCATACATCTGCAGACAAGGGCTTCAAAGAAGCCTTCCCCCCTCCCCCATCACCCCTCTGCGCGTGGCCGAAGAAACCACGGGTGCCACAATACCATCGCAAATCAGAAGGTCGTTCAGCAAACCAGGAATGCCGCACTAATCCCACCAGCCCTTTGGGCGTGAGTGGTTTTGAGAGCCCGCTCTGTCCTCAACCCCCCAACCCCCCTTCTTCCCTTTCGGGGAGGGGTTTACCCCTCCCCCTACCCCCTCCCCCTGGACCTGGAGAGGGCGGGCCGAGCGTGGTCAGGGGGGTCGTTTTTTGACTCCTGGAAGGGCCAAAAAACGACGACACTCACGAGGATTCTGGCCCCGACGGGGGGGACCACTTTGGCCCCTCTGCTCTTCTTGAAAGCCAAAATCATTGATTTTACTACGGTTTTGGCCTCATTTTGGCCTCCTGAGGGGGCCGCGCTTCTCTTCCCTCATAGCAAAATGATTGATTTTACGAAGGTTTGGGGCTCATTTTGTCCTTCTCAGGGGGCAGCTCTCCTTTGCGCTTCTGCGGAGGTCGCAAGAGGCCCCAAGAGGGCCCCAAGAGGCCCCCAGGAGGCTCCCAAGAGGCCTCCAAGAGGCCACCCAGAGGCCCCCAAGCGGCCCGAAGAGGCCCCCCAAGAGGCCCCCAAGAGGCCCCCAAGAGGCCCCACGAGGCCCCAAGAGGCCCCCAAGAGGCCCCCAAGAGGCCCCCAAGAGGCCCACGACGCCCCAAGAGGCCCCCAAGAGGCCCCCACGAGGCCCCCAAGAGGCCCCCAAGAGGCCCCACGAGGCTCCAAGAGGCCCCCAAGAGGCCCCACGAGGAGCCCGAACGACTCACATCAGGACGAGGGGCCCGAACGACTCACACCACGAAGAGCCCGAACGACTCACACCACAAGGAGGGGCCCGAACGACTCACACCAGGACGAGGCGCCCGAACGACTCACACCACGAGGAGCCCGAAGGACTCACACCACGACGCGGGCCCCGAACGACTCACACCACGAGGAGCCCGAACGAGTCACACCAGGAGGAGGGGCCCGAACGACTCACACCAGGATGAGGGGCCCGAACAACTCACACCACGAGAAGCCCGAACGACTCACACCAGGACGAAGAGCCCGAACGACTCACACCACGAAGAGCCCGAACGACTCACACCAGGAAGAAGGGCCCGAACGACTCACACCAGGACGAGAAACCCCAAACGACTCAAACCACGAGGAGCGCTTTCTCTCCCTCCTCCTTCGCCTCGTCCTTCTCCCGCTCCCCCCACAAGGAGGATGTACAAGGAGGCGGGAGGAAGGAGGAACAGGGGAGATATGCGGGGCCCAGCGGACACACGCCTGAAAAACACGACTGTCGGCATGCTTCGCGAGAGTTGCTGCTGTGAGATGGGCTGGTGGGGATACGCGAAGCGTAAAGAATTTGCCTGCAACAGGCAAGCTAATGCTAAAGGGGCGCTCCTGTACGTATCCGTATCTGCGCCCTCGCGGTCTGGCTTCCGGGGCGCGAGCGATTTGATTTGGAGGAAAGGAAAAGAGGGAAGAAAACTAAGAGGAATGGAGGCGCCCAAAAAACGTACGAACATGTGCCGGCAGCGTGGCCGACATTCGGTCCACGGAGGCCGTTGAGCATCGGGGCCACGGCCCGAAAGCCAAAGCCCGTCCTGAACCCAGTGGTCCTTGTTTCAGCGTCTTGACAATAGTTGATCATCGCGCGCCTAGGCACTCGATTGTGATACATGCTTCGAGCATTGTGAAATGATCGCGCGTCGCTTGAATTCTCCGCTTTTGTGTTACCTCGCCCATTGTCCCAGTCCATCTACAAGGGTGGTGGAATGAAGTTTCAAGGCAGGAGCGAAGAGGCAGAAGGGGAGAGGGAGGAGAAGGAGAAGAAGGTTGCGGAACATGAGGGGAGACAAGGGTGGAGCAAGGAGACAGGGAGAGGGAGCTGGGATAACGAGCGAGGCGGAGGGAGGAGGGAGCAGGTCGAGGGAGCCCAAAGTGTTCCTTCCCCAGGTCTCCGGCGCCTCGATGTTTTCGAGACAGGTGCCCCCCGACCTCTCGGCCACTTCCCCAGAACTGGTTTCCCATCCCGAGCCGTTTCTTGATGGCCCCGAGGCCCGGTAAGGGCCACGATAGGCCAAAAACTACGAACACAACCTGCGTCTCAAGTTTTTCGGCGGCGACGACAGGGGCGAACAGCCCAGGGGGGAGCAATACACGTATCCAGGGGCGCCGATGGTCCATGTGTTCGGCGTGTCTTCGGAAAACCTTCGCCTCCTTTATTCTCGATGCGCCGGATGTCTGGGCTCCTGTCGGCGTCTTGACTGCTTTTGTTTCGGGGGGAGCAGACGCAGCGGGCAGCACCACGACATAGCACCTCCGTGAAGCGAGCCTGGGTGCACTGCTACAACAGATTATCTTGAAAAAAGTGGCTGGGCAACCAGCCGCGCCCGTAGAACCACGGAGAGACCCGCAGCGGTAGGACGGGAAGAAGAGGAAGTGGAGGAAGAAGAGAAGGAGAAGCAAGGGGAAGAAGGACGAAGAGGAAGAGCAAGGGAAAGGAGGATGAGGAAGATGAGGAGGAAGATGAGGAGGAAGATGAGGAGGAGGAGGAGGAGGAGGAGGAGGAGAGGAAGGAGGAGGAGGAGGAGGAGGAGGAGAAGGAGGAGGAGCCCCCCCCCCACCACCACCACACAGGGAGGGCGTCTTGACTGTACGCACACAGGCCCGCCTCCAGGCCGCCAGGCCGCGCTCGGCACCCGCCCCTTGGGCGGGGCTGGGGGGGGGGAGCACGCGGGTGCCCTCGCTGCCTGCGGCGGGCTGGGGCCCAGCAGGCGCGCCCCGCCCTGTGGCAGGCGCTTTGGCAGGTAAGACTCGGAAGGCCTCGGTCCTTCTGAAAAGTTCTCCGAGCCAGCCCCGAGAACACAGGAGGCTTCTCGGAAGGCCAGAGGGCCTCTGAGAATCCCCACCGTCTTCTGAGAAGGTCTGCCGTCTTCTCGCTTCCCACCCTCGCTCGCCGCCGAGAAAGACACACGTGCGCGACGAAAAGAGACCGGGCCCACCCAAGAAGGCTCAGCGGCCTTACGCCGCGGCTTACGCGGGCCTTCCCCCCCCACGCGCGCCGCCAGGTGTCGTGGGCCCCTGCGGCGTCCCACGACGGCGTGGTGGCTGCGGCGACTGCGGTGGACACATCCACTGCGAGATCATTGCTCTCACAGATCCTGGGGCACGTCTTTCGTCGACGTTCGAGGGTCCAAGGGTGCCCTAGGGCCCAGGTCTTCAGTGGGTCCCTGGGGCCATCGAGGGATCGGACATTTCCGCGGGGCGCCTGCTGGCAGGCCGATGCTTCATGTAATGTGCCGCCTGTAGAAGCGGGCCCTTCAGAACAGTCGAGACGTGGCCGCGAGAACGTGGGTCGAGGACTTGAAGCCCCGTCGTCGAGGCCCCAGGCCCCTACGGAGATACGCCAACAAAAACGGAGAGCACACCAAAGTGGAGAGCGCCCAAGCACGAACAGCAACAAGGGAACCGCTCCAAAGCTTGGGTTGCTCCGGACCCACGCGCAAGCTACAGGCTACCCAACTCCGCGCAAGGGCCGAGCCGAGAGGGGAGCGAGCAGGGAGGAGCAGGGGGGAACATGGTTGCTCTCCCAAGCAGTCCTTGATGGGCGCATATTCCACCACCACAACCATGGGTAGGGGACGGGGGAGGAGAGGATGGGGAGGTCCTTCTCCTCCACCTCCTCCTCCTCCTCCTCCTCCTCCTCCTCCTCCCCTCCTCCTCCTCCCTCCTCCTCCTCCCCCTCCTCCTCCTCCCCCCCTCCCTCCGCCTCCGCCTCCTCCTCCTCCTCCGCCTCCGCCTCTTCCTCCTCCTCCTCCTCCTCCTCCTCCCCCTCCTCCTCCTCTTCCTCCTCCTCCTCCTCCTCCTCCTCTTCCTACCTATGGTAGCGGTGGCGGGAAATCGGCCCATCAGTGCTGGCACTCGAGGTTCCCCTTAATTGGGTGTCTGAGCAGCCGCCAGGGCTTCGACCACGATCCCGCCCGTGGGTGCCCGTGGGCGCCTCGTGGGCGCCTCGTGCCCGGAACGCCTCCCAAGCGCACAGCAGCAGAAGAGCGACGACGACGACCACCACGACGACGACGACCACGACAACGACGACGACGACGACGACGACGACGAGGCCCCCCCACTCCCCCCTCGATAGAAATCAACAATGACATAAACATGGACTTTCGGAGGTCCGCGCGGATTTCTTGGGTCTGATCTGGATGCCCCTCCCTGGCGCGCGGGCCGCGCCAGGGGCGCCGATGGGGGCGCCGCCAGGGTGGCCCAGCGCCGATCTAAGAAATTCGATGTGTTCATGTAGATGTTTGTTCCACGCCCTCCACCCCCGCCCGCTCTGCAGGGGGGGGCGACCGACGAAGAGGTCCTGGTGCCGGGGAAGCCCGTGATCGACGAGCTCCCTCGCGCGAGGGGCGCCGCGCGCGAGCGGGCGAGGCCGCAGCCCTCTGGCGCCGCGATCTCTTCGCGCCGGGCGTCTTCGCCCGGAGTTGGGGAGACGTGAGACTCGGGCTGCGCGGGTTGACCCGGGGACGCCGTCAAGAACATGACGAGGCCCAGTCTGAGATTTGGCGCGAACTGCTGCTGTGAACCTCCTTCGGAAACTGGACCGTCAAAATCCAGGACGGGCTCGTCAAAAAGCGTAAGCAAGCCCGAATTCTGGCAATCTCGAGTCTTCCATGTTCCCGACAAGACCTTCCCCAGAGTTCGACTGGTTTATTCTCGACGTCGGTTGATTTATCTTCGATGTCGGCCCTTGGGGGCTGGCTTCGGGACCGACGACCCCCAACACGTCCCATGCTGGCCTTCAGACGCTTCGGGAAGCCCCCGAAAGCGCTCCACGAGAACTGCCACCATGACCCCGAAAACAAAAAATCGCCCCATCGGCTTGGGAAGGTGGGCATGCTTAGCATATTCGGCTTCTCGGTCGCCACAGCCTTCACGAAGGCCGCCGGCGCCCCCAAGAACCGCCAGCAGGGCTCTCCTGATGGCCCAAAACGGCTCAAGTAGGCCCCAAGACGGCCCCAGAAGCGCCCAAGACGGCCTAGGAGGATTCCAAGAAGGGCGAACTGACATTTCGAGACTTGCGCCCAAAGAGGGCCCCCGCAATCGCCAGCAGCGTCCCGAGAAAACCCCAACAGGCCCCAACAAGCCCCAAGAGGCCCAAAAGAAGCACCCAAACGGTCCGCAGAAGGCCCGAAAATGATCCAACAAGATCCGTTTTGAATACGGCGCGGGCCTTCCCAAATGGACGCACGGCGCCAACGCGCTTCCACGACGCGCCCATCAGAAGAGTGACGTCTCAGACTCCCGAGGGGTCGGCGGCGCGGCGCAACCCAGCGAATCCACGTCCGGAAATGACGCGTTGCCGGAGGCAGGCCTGCGGATGCTGTAACGCAACGTATCCCATGCATCCAATGACTGCACACTTGCAATGTATCCCACTCTTTGGTACATATTGAATTGTGGCATTATAATGTTTCCCCCCTAGCCCCCTTCTGGAGCCGCGCCACAGCGCCGTACAAAATCTGGAGGCCTTCATTTCGGAGCTCAAGACCTACAGTAACCAATGGAACATCACCACGTTCGGCCTGTTGGGCCTCTTGGGACTCCAAGAATGAATCAATATGGTTCAAGATGGCCCCAAGACGGCCCATGACGGCCCCAAGGCGGCCCAAGATGGGCCCCAAAAAGGCCGATGAGGCCCCCAAGACGGCCCACGAGGGCCCCACGAGGACCCCCACGAGCGCCTCCAGAGGCCAAAATCATTGATTGTCCCTTGGTTTTGGAGCGACGCTAACGTTCTCGAAACTTTCGGCTATCCGAAAGCCATGACGGCCCAAGCAGCCTCCAAAAAAAAACGCCAATACGACCCAACAAGCCCCCAAGGAAGACGGTTCCAGAGGCCCCCATAAAGCCCCAAGAAGCCCCAAAGAGGTTCTCAAAAGGCTCCCAGGGCCCCCCAGGAAACCTCCCAAATGCCCCCAAATACCCCTCCCCCCAACAAAACACCGAGAGGCCCGCGCACTTGCGCACCACGCGTGTACTGCCAAATGCGCGGATGGAAAACAATACATACTGCCAGAGTGGGGCGATGGCCCCGAGGTAGCAGGCCTCGCGCAAAATGCGCCATCCTACTCTTTACCATCTTGCCGAAAATGATTGATAGCCTTGTGCGCACACGCGGTGAATGCTCATTGCCCTCTTCGACGTTCGCGCGTTCGTGCCTGCGCTCAAGCGGGAAGGAGACCGCATCCGCCCCCCGCGGCGCCGCGAGTGCCACGGGGCGGGCAGAACGACGCGGCAGACCAGCGCGGCAGACGAGCAGGGCAGACCACCCAACGCCCAGTCTTCACGCGCTGCGCACGGCGGAAGACGCCTCCAAGAGGCCCCAAGAGGCACCAAAGAAACCTTCAAGAGGCGGCCCAGAAGTCCCCGGCCGAGACGCCCCCACAAGGCCCCAAGTGGCCCCACAGAAGCCCCCAGGAGGCCGCCCAGAAACCCCGGGGACGGCGGGGCGAAGCGGCACGCACGCGCGGCGGCCAACCAGGCCACGCCAACCGACGCCCATATTTTCCACATTGTACGCGACACGTTTCCACAGCGGCGACCACCAGTCCAGATCGGCTGCGCGGCGCCTGCTCTGCCCGCCAGCAAACGGGGCAGAGCAAGTCTGCTTTGTCACGCTGGGAGCTGTGCGCGGATTCTCGCATAAACGCTGCCGAGCACCGCGCGCATGTTGCAACGCCAGCCCCGAGCCTGACGCTGAGCGGAATGGAACCCCTAATGCAACGTATCCAACGTCTCCAATGATTGCGTAATTTGCACATATTCTATTCCGTTTCATCATCGCCCCCACCCGAACGCCCCGCCCAAAGACCGCGCCGCATCCGCCGACCAGGCAAGGCGCCCCCGCCCCCCTTCCGGGCCCGCGTCGGGCATGTCCTCCTACAGGCGGCTTATGAAAGAAATGTTAAACATATTCAAAACAGACTTTGCCGTTCATGCTACAAGCACGTTGTAAAAATGCGCGGGGAATGTTCTAACAATAGTTCGAAGAAAAAACCGATCCCTGCTGGAGGATTGCCTTGTCCTGACAATGTCCCCCCGCGTGCCTCGGCGCGCGGAAACATGCACAGCGCCCTGCGCGCCAGACAGAAAGGGCGCCACGTGAACGCCGCGTAAGCTACGATCACAACTATATCGTTACAATAGAAGTTCGACGCACAGTCAACGGTTCCGCGTTCGCCCGAGAACGAATCAACCCCGCTGCGCACTCAGTTGGCTCCACGCGGTTCGTCGCCGCCGGGCTCGCCACGAGGGCGCGCGACAGACGCGGCGCGCGCCCTGAAGGCGCGCGAGGGGCGCCACGAGAAAACAACCCATCCAAGCGCGCAGACGATCCAGAGGCAACCGCTGATCGCAACGCGCGAAGATGGCAAACAAGAGACGCCGCAAAAGAAAACTAAGGGCCCGCGGGGGCTGACGGACCGCCACAAACTCGTACTTTTATCGATCGGTCGATCGATCAATCTTCCGATTGACCGATCGGCCAACCCCCCTTCCCGCGCCCCCCCCCCCCCCCCCGCCTCAATCAGCAAACGCTTACCATTGTAATCGAAGGCGGGCGCGCGGGAAAACTGGATCCAAAAATGGCTGCAAAAGTCTGGACTTCTCCCTGTCTGGAAGCAGCGCAACGCGCGCAGGACGCATCGCATGTTCGATGCGCGCGCGCGTTGAGAGCCAGTCCCCCAGCGGGGCCAGGCGAGGCCGCGACGCTTCTGTGGTGCGGAACGACAGGCGCTCGGCAACATAGCGGCGCGCTGTTCAGCCCGCGAGGGCGCCGCATCAGCAGTGCGCGTCGCGCGCTTGGCAACCCTAACGCAGGGCACCCGATACGCTAGCGAGCCCACTGCACAATGCGCCGCTGCGGCGCGATTTCGGGCGAAAGGGGGGCCAGGGGGGCACTGCCGGGAGACTTTCGCGTCTGGGAGACTTGGAACTGTCTGTCGAAGAGGGTGACGCGCTGCGCCCCGGGGGTGCGTTGATGTCTCGCGATCGGTCGGCGAGTCTCCTGCGGCATTTTGAAATCGCAGAGGTCGCCGCGGGGGCATTTCGGAAGCAGTTTGAAATTTCGCAAATGGCAAAAGAACACCGGCGCATCTGTGGAGCAGTTCAAAAAATCGCAAATGGCACTGGCATGCCCTTCAAGTATTCTGAAAGTTCGCACATGGCCCTCGAGCACATGTTTGATATTTTGAAATTCCGCAGATGGCACTAGAGCATCTTCGGAATATTCTAAAATTTCGCAAATGGTAATTGGAATATCTTTGGGGCATTCGGAATACTATTGGAATATATGTTCTGGGCGCGTGAAATCTGGAGGGGGGGGTATTTTTTGAGTGTGTCTAAAGATTGGACATCTACGGGGTGCACTTTGTGAGTATATGAAACCTGCGGGATGTACTGTTGGAGTATGTTGCGCGCGCAACGTGCTTGAAATCCTCCGGTGGCGCATTTTGCGTGGTCGGCGAGCGCGCAACATCCTGCGCTGGAGTATGTTAACTCTCGAGGCATATCGGACACTCGCTCCGGGGATCCGAAGCGCGCACTGCTGCGCCAGCCTCGACGCCTGTCTGCGCTCTGGATGCTCCGACGGCGCCGGCCATGATTGGGGCGCGTCGCAGGCTCCCGGCCCTGCTTTGCTACGCGCGCGCAGGGGCCCGCCGATCTCAGCAGACGAGTAAATACCAATAAACGCGCGCATGTATGCAAGTAGGCGCATTGCTCTGGCCCGGTTGAGTGCGCCCTATACTCGGCCCCGCGCGCGATCCGCGCGACCACCTTGCCGACGCCATGGATAAAGATGAGTGTTGCTGCGCTTGCAAACTGATATGCGGACGTGCACATGTAGCCCCCTAGTCGCACTCTGCCCCCTCGCACGCCTAATCCCACCAGCCCTCTGGGCGTAGGTGGTCTAAGGCGATTCCTCTTCCACTCCCCCCTCCCCGTCGTGGAGGGGTTTACCCCTCCCCGTGCCCCTTTCCCCCGGACCTGGACGGGGCTTTCCGCGAGCGGTCGGGGCGTCCAAGATGGCCCAAGATGGCTCCAAGAGGGCCTCGGACAGCCCAAAACGACCTCCAGAATGGATCAAGATAGCGCAAGATCGCTCAACATGGCACCCAAAATGCTCCACGAGGCCCCAAGAACGCCCCAAGACATCTCCAAGAGGCCTCCAAGACCTCCAAGGAGGCCCCGAAGATACCATAATCTGTCCAAAACCTAAAGAAAATCAGTGTTGCTTGCTTTCTCTGATTTCCGTTTCCGATGGCCATCCGAAGCTTCAATATGGCCACAACATGGCCCAAGAGGGCCCCAAGAAAGGCCCAAGAGAGCTCCAAAA